TGTATAGCTTAACACTTGAGCTTCTCATTTATTTTTTGTGAACCACTCCACTTCAAAAGTGCAAAACTTATCATTCTGTGTTGTTCTGTCATGCATCATGAGTCTGATGACAAAAGGAATGCTTGCAGAAAGAAATATTTTAAAACTTGAAAAAAAAAATAGTGTTTTTTTTTTTCTTTTTAAACAGGTTTTATATGAAAAAACAACAAATCTGTATCTTAAGTCTCCAAGGACTACAGATCATGATCTCCTCTCCAGTTCTCTTGTTAATATTCCTGTATTAGTCTTGTCAAATTTAGCCCTGTAAATATGCAACCTTACTACAAAACAAAAAGCAACCCACCACCACTTAATCAGCTAACTCATGTAACTGCTTGTTCTCAAGGCAGTGAGAATGCACTTTACATGCATTTTTGTCAGTGCTGTTAAACAGGACATGATTCTCAACCTCCCTCTAATGAATGACAAGAGCAGAAGGAGCTGGTGACAGCTTGATCAACTGCCTAACGAGCTCAGGAAAGCTGAATTACAGTAACCGAGCTAAATGATAAAACCAAAACAAACCAGAGGATTTCCTAATCCAGTCTGACTTTACCATTCTTTTACCATTCCTTGGCCACCCACTCTGTCCACACCACTGTGGATGCCTGTGGTATTTGAACATTTCCTTTTAACAGGGAGCTCTTCAAGTCGTTCTGCCCATCAGAGAAGAGGATGTCTGAGGAAGAGCACAAGGAACACTTCTGCACTGCCACTAGTTACCCTGGATGCCTTCTTTGAAAAGGAGATGTCTTTCTGGGATCAGGCTATGGGGGATGATCCCCCTGCATGAACTCAAGAAGCAGCAGGTGTTGACCTTATAGTTTTCCTTCTAAATCTCATGTAAATGCCAAATCAGAGTCTGTGGAACTAAACTAGCAATCACCTCCGTTCATTTTCATAGTTCTTTACAAGTGACTCAAGTAAAGCATCAGAAGCTAGTGAGATCTGAGAGCATCTAAGTTAGGCCCAGGCTTAGCTCTGCGCTTGCTGAACTCTTTCAAGGGACTGGTTTGGTAACCACTGTCCTATTTTGCTGTCTGGTTTGCCCATTCTGAGGCCACCCTGACAGTCTGATCTTCTAAACAAAGCAAATCTCTCTGCACCTCACAGCCTCTTCCCTCTTAGTCCTTGTGAAGCTCCTGCCATCTTCTTATAGGGACAATTGTAATTCAAGACCTGTATGTCTCCTTCTCCGATGTCTTGTTTACACTGGTATATGTAGCTCACCACGCGCTGGCTGCCCAACACTTCAGAAGAATATGTAGGAAAGCACTGCTTTGATGTGTCACAGACCTTAGATTTTCAGGATGGGACAATCAAAATGCATTTAAGGGCCACCTAACGCTATCTGCATTTAAGTCGATAGCAAAAATATTCAAAACGTGCCAAGAGACTGAAAGCAATGCTTGATGCTTTTAAAAAACCCACCCTCAACATATGAAACTGCATGATCTTTTGGAGGGATGGGCAAGGTTTCACAGGGGTGGGAAAGGTTGTGCTATCTCACCATCTTAATTCACCACGATTGCAAGAAGTTAAAAAAAAAATAAATAAAATTTAAAACTGAAAGAAAAAAAGGAAGCAGCCTTTTCCCAGAAGTCTGTCAAACTGCTTTCACTGAGTTCTGCATGGGGAAGTACAGGACTCCGCTGCTTGCAGCCACTTCATGTAGGCTCCAGATTCCCTTCTCCTCTGGGGTAAGATGAGTAGATGACAGTTTATCTACGCTGTCTGCAAAGCCTCATCGACCAACTGAAACAGCACTGTAAATGGGACTTGCCCAAGGGGAATTCAGTACCACTGCACTGAGCTAAAACGATGGTTGCCAGAGAGCTTTAATCCATGAGAATACAGTGATGTTAGCAAAAAAGGTGCATATACCCTTCTCCATTCCAGCGAGATGCCTGTACAGATGATTTCAGGATGTTTAAACACAGGCAGAATCTTGAGGCAGTAGCTAGATAGAAGGGAGGGAAAAGCAGCAAAAGTCTTCCCAGTGAGGACAAGCCACTCACAGTACCCTGCCCTCCTGCTTTGGACTAGCCAGGTCTGTGGTCCAGACTTCAGATCTGACTGGACCAAAACTGGGACTGCAACGGTCCCGTTCTCCGGGCCTCAACAGGAAGGAGCTATCCTGACACATGCTTTGAGTAAGGCAATCCAGATTTTCAGTGGTCTCACTTATAACCTGCTTCAGACTTCTAACTTGTAAGCTGGACACCTTTTAAAATTTAGAAGGTGAAACCCATACAGCCATAAGCAGCAGAGTGAAACAGGAAATCTCTCATCCCTTCCCATGCCATAACAGTATGTAGATCACGGGGGCAGACTGTAGTTCCCCAAAACTGTTTGGGTCCTAGAGGCATTTTAAGTATTTCTCACTCAAATTTTATTTCTGTCTCTACCGGAGGGGGAGGGGGGGGGAACAAAGAAAAAACCCAGCTCTGAGTCATATTAAATATTTGAACAGATATCTGCAAACCAAGAACAAGACATTTCTAATCTAGGTCATCATATAAAGATATCACAGTGTCACCGTGCTATATTTCTACTCTCTGAGACAGAGCTGCCTCTAGCTAACTTGATGTGCTGATACAGATTCTGAGAAAAGCCTCAGGAAATACTTTAGGCAGGTTTCTGTGAAGAAAGAAAAACACAAACCACATTTCTAATTGGCTGCACCCAACCCCACGAGCCTGCTCTGTTTCAGATAATGGAAGTACCACACAACACAGCTTGCTCTTGTAGGAAGTAACAACTGATAACAAGCCAGTCTTTTTGCATTTTTCACTGGAGGGCTATCTGACTCCAGCTTTCATTCAGCTTGCTGTATTAAGACAGCAAAAGTTGTCCGCAATGCATTCTGAGTTTGTGAAGCAGTGTTTAACAGTGATAAGGGGGGAAGTAAATCACAGTTGGACGTCACTAGTCAGCCTCCAGCCACACGTGACTCAGGCTGGATATGCACAGTTATGTTCAATACCAAGCCAGCATGTCCTCTGCTGTGCAAAACCTACATCTTTCCATCTTCACAACCTGATACATCTCTCTTACTGAGTTCAGCTCCTTTCTCTTTCTCTCCTGACAATTAATGTCAAACTGATCCTTCCTGCTAAGCTTCCTGAAGGCTAGGATAGCACATGAGAAGAGGAGGCCTGGGGACCTACGATTCTGCAGGGAAGAATCATGATTGCTAAAGACAAATCAGTGACAAATACTGGCAAGCAAAGAGGAATAAATACTGTGTTCTCCCTCATTTGCTATGAGCATGAGAGCTTGTAGATATTCAAACATACAAGTTCTCTGATGACTACCACCTGTGTCCTCTGCAAGCCTCCTTCCTGGCTACAATCTCAGAGATACAGACTCCACCTTTCCAGAGCAATGTCATTTGAAAAACATTCATCCTTTGTATATCATACAGCAGAAGTAGCTAGAGAAATAAAAGGCAGACTACCTGCCCGCTGCAACAAGTTAGGCTTTTAAAATTATATTTGTTTCTATAAAAGGATTATCATGATTGACAAGGATAAAAGTAAAATAGCCATATTTAGGGCTACCACCGAAAACCAAGTCCTGAAATGCCGAGTGTAAGGGAAGGTCACATATGTACAGACTAAACTCAAGATCTGTCTTGCTTACTGAATGCATCCCCATTAATTATCAGTGTTACATGTGCCAGCAGCACCAGTGTGCTGTGACTCAGGGCAGACAGCGAGATAATCTGTTGTTATTATCATGAAACATGACTCAGTTTTCATGCCTTCATGAAGATCTGTCACATACTTCAGCTTAAAAAAAAAGTACATGACCTGTCATGAAGGTGAAGCAGTTTTCCTAGTATGAGTACAATTCACAGTGCTGTCCTCAAGCCTTAACTGGAAATTTAGAAACAAGGTAATGAAAAAGATATTAAGAAATTAATATATTAAAGATCATATAGCTTTAAAACAAGAGCAGACCTTTAGAGTATCCAGGATGGATTTATGAAAACTACAATGTTATCCAACACCTAGAGTGATCAGTTCAAACCACCACATACTCCACTATTTTAAAAGTCTGTGACTCTGAAAAGTCAAGAAGTATACCCCGAATTAGAGACTTCAGGTGCTGCCTGAAGCTTGCCCTATGACAGTGATGTCTTCGCACACCTCTGCCCAGAGTTTATTTTAGAGTCTCTAATTTGTGCTATTTGTAAAAGAAGGTGGTAAGAAATTTTATTCTCAAAGTCAAAAAACCACTTCTCACATTCGTTTCTCCTAATCATTTCTTACAAATGTTGCTGCTCAAACACAAAATATGTGCAAAAAAACCAAACTCAAACTCAAAAAAACAAAAAAAAAAACACCTCAAAAAAATATGTGCAAAGTGTAATTAAGATGTTCTAGATAAATAACTCTCTCCTCAGGGCTGCTCTCAACCCACTCCTCACCCAGCCTGGATTTGTGCTTGGGATTGCCCTGACCCACGGGCAGGACCTTGCCCTTGGCCTTGCTGAACTCCATGAGGTTTGCCCAGGCCCACCTCTCCAGCCTGTCCAGGTCCCTCTGGATGCCATCCCTCCCCTCCAGCCTGTCACCCCACCACACAGCTCGGTGTCAGCAGTGAAATTGCTGAGGGTGCCCTCGATCCCACTGTCTGTGTCACAGACAAAGATGTTAAACAGTGCTGGTCCCAACACCAACGCCTGAGGAACATCATTCAGTTGTGTAGAGTTTGACAGCTCTGAATCTCACAGATGAGTCAAAATCTGCAAAGCACGGAAAATATTTCTCCAGTACTTTTTGTTGAGTAACAGTATTATTGAATTTCATAAGTAAATTGGCATTTATAAAAGAATTGGTGATAAGATCTATAAGTGAACTACCAGGCACAAGAACAAATGGAATTACAAGAAGCTAGGAAAAAAAGGTTTGAACTCTCCTCTTCATCTTGTTCCACCCAAGAAAGGCACTTACATAAGCAGAGAACCAGGTTTTCATAAGTCTGTACCGCATCACAGTGCTGGGGTCACATCTGCATACCCATCATTCATTCAAGAAGCCAAATTTCAAAGTCCTTGCTCATGCTTAGTCTCTGCCATGACTGTTCATTCTCACTCTCAGCTGTCTGCTTTCTCCTGTGGAAACAAGGGGTCAGCCTGTGAATGTCAGTTCCAGTCCCCTTCCAAGGCAGGTGCCACAAAATCAAGTAAAGGCTGTAAGAAAAATGCCACCTAGCTCTGAATGTGGTTGCCAAAACAAAGATGCATATGTCCATACTTAAAACACTTCTCCTTAAAGGCCATTCATCAGAACATTAATTGGGCACAAAGACTTTCTGAGGGAAACTGTGTCAAGTGACGGAAAACCCACATTCATATCAATGAGGCAGACCCCAACACAGGGGAGTTTCACAGCTCGGGCACTGCAGAGATGGTGGAGCAGGCAGATAAGGGACACAGAGAGCACCAGGCTGCTCGGGCCGCTCACCCCCCAGGGAGGCAGAGCATCCTGGTTACGTCAAAGGAGCTCGTGGGAGTCGAGTGCCCAGCTGTGTTAATCACGGCTAATCAAAAGCCAGGAGAGAAGACCCGGGCACTGAGGAAGCGTAAGGATGAATCGCTTTGGGGAATTTTTCCGCACACTTGGTTCCCGCTGCCAAGATAACATTTTATTTCTCTTACCCTCAGCTGGACTCCTTAGACACCACTGCTCATTCCCACGCCAGCCTGTGCTTTGAAAACCCAGCCAGAGGGAGAGCTGAGCGGCCCAGGGACTTGACTTCCCTTCCTTCCTAAGCGGCCAGCCACTTGTCATGAGTTAATCCCAAGGAGAGGAACTGGACTACTGATTGTTCACTTTCTAGCACACTGCTGCCTCGTATCACACTGAAAATCCCACCAATGCCCTCAATCACACAGATGGCACAATAATCAACGTACTGCTGGGGGAAAATTATCCTCCTCACCCCTTCTCCCCACAGGACTGGTTCAGAAACCAAAGCAGAGCAACGAGAAGGTCTGCACCCCAACATCCACACTTCACAGGGCCTATCACTTAGGTACCAATTACCACAGCTGCCAACTGCCCAATACTCCCAGAGTACAAGACGCACCTCATATCTAACCAGACAGCATCATGTCAGAGAAACAGCCCACAAGACACATAAGGAAGGAAGGAAGGAAGGAAGGAAAGGAGTAGATAATTTTACTGTGCTATAGATACAGAAGATAAAATGCACTTCCTGGAAAGTATAAAGCAGAAAGCAAGAAATATACATTGCTTTCCATTTCCCAAAATGTTTAACCATAGGTTGGTTTTTGCAACTGTATCTCAGGGAGTTGTGTAAATCCACTGCCAGCCATGAATTCCATAGTCTTTCCACATTCATAGTGTAATGCTGGAAGCACTACGTTATACCCCTGGTTTGGTCACCCAGACATCTGCCCAACACGAGACTGGCTGTAAGAGCCATTGCGCTGCTGCGGCTGATCGCCGGACACGATCCCAGGCAGCAGGTCACCCCTGCAGCCTCCCTCTGATATAGGGTTCACGGATCAAGTCCCTCTGTAGGAAAAGAAGGGCTATAATTAGTCTGACAGGAAAGTCAATTCTGTCTTCCTGATTCAGCGATAGTGAGTGCCAAGAAGTCTGAACAGGCATGCGGGGAGGGCAGATACACGCAGCCTTCAAAAGCAAGCCCTGGTCCAGCCCCGCTACCTTCACTGTCACCAAGCACCGTGTTCTCCTCCCTGCTCCGACACCTGAATTTATAGGAGGCACACAGGCCCGTTTCTCTTTAGCAATCTTGTTTACAAAGTATAACGCTTTGCTGGTTTTTGTTTGCTTTGGTGTTTAAATCTGACCAGGAAACCCAAACTGTGCCATACCCAACTCTCCTCCACCAGTGCTGCTTGAATTTCAAAGGCAGGTGACACTTTTTTTTTTTTTTTAATTCTTTTTTCAAAGAACAAGAAACTCTAGCAGAACATGATTACAGTCAGTGGATTCTAAATAAGACCTTCAGAAATTATCAGTTCCTGTAGTTGATATATGAAGCTTGCTTTGTAGGTCTAGTTGAATAAAACATTAAAATGCAATACTGGATGAGTTTTACAATACTTTTTTTTTCCCATATAAATTTAATTTCATTTATCAGTTCAGCCTCAAGTCAGGAGTTCAATCTTTAGTTGCTATATTTAATTACATTTTCTTTTCATCATGGCCTTTTCCAGATAAATGTTTAATCAGGGTGTTCACTGTAATATAAAAATTACTAGAGTGAAAATAATGAAGTAATAATGTTCTCATCCTTATACATTGTATGTTAAATTCTAGAGGGTTGATTAAAGAAGGACAATGATGTCACTGAATGAAGAACCTGCTAATAAGCCCTCAAGGAGAAAATGCACTAAGTAGTGGTAAAAATTAACTACCAGAATATGAAACCATCATATCTTTTGGAGAGTTTCAGGAACCCATTCATGCTTCAATAAGATGCACTAAAAGCAAAATTTAAGTTTAAGTTCAATGCATCCCAATTTCACCCATAGATACCAGTGACAGCGATTCTATTGCCAAAAATGCAGCACAGATTTATCTATCTAAATAACATGCCAGGTTTGGAGGCAGAATCAGCAGTCCACGCAATGGCCTTATCAGAACCAATACCTGGTCTATCACTTGCGCACTGGGTCAGGGACTAGAGGTCTAGTCTTTCTTATTCCAGTAAGAAAACTACGTGTCCTGATACAAATTCCTTGCCACCCCAACCCCTCCTACTTCACAAAAGCGCGAGGAAGGGCTAATACTTGTTTTTGACAATGTCTATGTGCAGTGTGAGTGATAAGAGTCAATACTACTGTCATCACTGCTATCTACCTTTCACTTTGTCTTTGCCCACAATGAATCACTTTGTTTTCCATGATTATTCAAAATAAAACTTGCTATGGACCAAACATTCCAATTACTAGAAAATAGGCAAATGTACTATAAAACCTGCCGCATAAAAATTACATATATTTCTTACATATTTCCAGGTATTCCTACATATTTCCTGTCTATGACTGTAAAATATAAATATTATCTCCCCTAGTTTTGTCTGGTTTGCAGTCCTGCTTTCTGTACCTTTTTTCTTACTCTGCTTTAGTCACTGACGAGGCCATTTCTTCCTGCAGAAATTACTCATTTTTAATGAGCACCATCAGTCTTCTGCTACTGTCTTTGCTTATTTTGAGTAGACCAAACTTCTAATTCTTCTTTTTTCTAAATTGTATAAAGACATGTTGTTCATTAAACCCTACCTACAGAGGCAGGAGATAGTAGCTTTGCTTCATAAAGAGTGAATTATCACTTGGATTTTTCAGCCTTTTTTTTTTGACATTTAAACATGATGCAGCCACATAAATCTTCTGAAAATATATAACATTAACTGGATTTTTAGACAACTCCTCTTAGGAAACTGCTAGGTTTTTCTTATCCATCAGCATCCTCCATCTGGTAGCCTGAAGAATGCATGGCTTCAATTCTTTCTGCCTGTGTTCTGTGCCTCCCAGAAGTTAAAGCAGGGAGCCTGCTGACCACCACCCTAAACTGGGAGATGCCGGCTGACAGTCACACACACTGCTGAGGCTGTTCTGAAAGTTCAGTCACCCTAACTTTCATGAACTTGATAAAGACTAAAACCTCCGGTTTAGCCACTGTCTCTGTTCTGGAGATCTCAACTGCCGGAGTGGTTCGGCATTTTGTTTTCCAGTTCCAAAAAAATCACTTTGTCTTAGGGCTCTGGCAAGCCAGGGGCGAGCTGTGACAGCCTACGGGACTAATGTGCCCAAGCCCCTACTCTGCACCCCTCTGGTCGCAGAGACACCAGAACAAGGCATGTGCCACATCTGCAGCCTCCGAGCCACCGGCAGCGCAGCACGGCACAGCTGGCTGTCCCGGGAGAAGGGACAGTCCCGCTCCCCTGGCCACCAGCTGCCCCGGAGACTCCTCTGGCACTCATGCCATCCATCGCAAACAATTCCGGGGAGCTGAATCCTACTCTCCAAGAGGCGGTGAGTATTCTTCTGCTGGTTTCAGAGTCTCAGAAGCTCAATGAGCGGCCCGGCAAATGCTAGCACTAGCGCGCAGGATGAGATAGGAGTGCACAGCAAGGAGCAAACAGGGTCCAGGACCATCCCTTCCAGCCAGCCAGCTCATCAGTTCACTGCTAATGTGAAACCTTGCTGGCCCTTCAGTCGGGCTGTGCCAGCAGGGACAAGCTTTTGCTAGTGTGACAACAGCAGCGGCAAGCCATCCATTCTGTTCTCACCGATCTTGGAACCAAAGCCCGCAGAAAAATGTTTAAGACAAGTCTAACAGCCACAAACCCAGAGCAGAGAGAGAGAAATTCCTTACACTGCAATCAAATCTGCCAGAACTTGTCCACTAGAGCCCTTATATGGGGCAAGAAATTCCTCGCTTGCAAAGCTTCAACCCAATTAAAGTAAGTGTTGAGAAAAACTGAACATAGGGTGCTTCAAATGTCCCATGCTGGATTGATGTTAATACTTTGAAAATCAACACAAAGGTAAAGTGATACAACTTTGCATTCAGAGCAAGCTTTGCAAAAGGGGAAACACACTTTGGCCAGGAACCTAAAATATTTTCAAGGACTGAGGTCCAACAGAAAACAGGTTTAAGACCTCTGCTTCCATAACAAACACTTTAACAACAGTATTTGGTTCCTTCAACTGTTTAAAAAAAACCTCAAACCTGCCATACATGGATGCAAATGATATACAGATTCCTTGTAAAGATTTCCTCCATTACCCAGAGGAGTAAAAACCCTAAGGATGACTGCTAACCTTGCTGTCCGCACTTTGGGATAACATTCCCTTTTTTCTGATTATCCTATTTCCTTCAATGTCAGCAACTCCCTCAACTTTTCTTGAGATCTCTGAAAAGGTCCAAGGGAAAGAGGCTGGGGGAGAGATATGGAAAACACAAGAAAAAACGAGCACCTCAAAAGACCAAACAGCAGCAGTGCCTTCAAACGACATGATACTGTACTTCATCTCATGCAAGTAAAAGCCTCGGTCTGCTCAACTTTAGCTTCAACAGACTTCACAGTTTAACCCCAAAGGGAAAATACCCA